GACGGGTGCAATATTCTAGAATTGCTTAATCTGATATTTTTTACCTTATTATTTCATAGCATATGGACCGCATACCGCCAAAATAAGGACTTTGGGTATGAAATTGTTATTTATGAGGTATGGAGATCATTCCTGTTAAGTCTTTTTTGATCTTAAGGTGCACTTATATCATTTCATTCCCATTTGGTGATTATTATCTCCACGATATTGTCACAGATGGTACACAATTGATCTTATATCGAATTTAATTTTTATACGATTATTTTTTCCTTGCTTTGATTGTTGATAACGCATTTTTGTCTTGCGTCCTTGCCGTAACTCTCTTTTGCAAATCTAACAGAGCATCAAAACTTGTGGATAGTTCATCAATGAATTGATAATTTGTTTATATTTGTGGTAGGTTCGAAAGTTGTTTTTCTTACTTGATCATTTCTTAACAAAGTTTACATTATCTTTGTAAAGGTATTCATTTTATCTCTAGTAAATTTGGTTTCGTTATTTGACGCGTTTAAATGAATGCACGCAATTATAATGAATGACAATTTATTATACAATAGTACATCTTTTTTGCTTGCCAGGTGTAACGTACCCTGGGTATTCTAAGCGGTATTTTACGGTAAATGTCATTTCTGACCATGGCATATTTACAGCGATAAAGATAAGTATATTATTCCGATTCGAACACTCATGCGAGTTTTGGCAGTTCGTCCTAAGCCCACTTCTTGCGACGATGGGTTAGGTTTTGCGAACGGACAACTGCTATAATCGCACCTTGTCCTAAGCCCGGTGTCTTGCGATGACGGTTTAGTCCGGTTTCTTGCGACGACGGTTAGGTCTTGCGACGGACGGGTGCAATATTCTAGAATTGCTTAATCTGATATTTTTTACCTTATTATTTCATAGCATATGGACCGCATACCGTCAAAAACGAAGTAAATAAGGACTTTGGTATGAAATTGTTAGATATGAGGTACGGAGATCGTTCCTGTTAAGTCTTTTTTGATCTTAAGGTGCACTTATATCATTTCATTCCCATTTGGTGATTATTATCTCCAATTGATCTTATATCGAATTTAATTTTTATACGATTATTTTTTCCATCATTTTATTGCAGGTAAGGATTGGCTTTTCCCGCTATATAGTTCAGGAGACTTACTTGCTTTGATTGTTGATAACGCATTTTTGTCTTGCGTCTTTGCCGTAACTCTCTTTTGCAAATCTAACAGAGCATCAAAACTTGTGGATAGTTCATCAATGAATTGATAATTTGTTTATATTTGTGGTAGGTTCGAAAATTGTTTTTCTTAGCTTGATCATTTCTTAACAACGTTTACTAAAATACAATGATGACATTAACCGAATGAAAGAAAAAAAATATAGAAGTCTGCAATTGGTG